CATTCCAAGACCTGTGTTGTGCTTTCAATAAGGTAGTTACTAGCTATATTTGGCTACTGTTAGTGACTGAGGAACTGAATCTTTAATTTACTCATTTTAATTATTTTTAAATTTAAAAGCTGATACTCAATGCAGTCATTAGAAAATTTATTGGGTATATGATGCTACTTTTTCAACTGCAAATTTTACAAAATCTAAATATAGATTAAGGTGTTTTGTTTGTCTGTCTGTTGGTTTTGAGACAAGGTTTCACTCTGTTGCCCAGGCTAGAGAGCAGTATCACAATCACAGCGTACTGCAGCCTCGACCTCCCAGGCTCAAGTGATCCTCCCACCTCAGCCTGCCTAGTAGCTGGGACTATAAGCACACACCGTCATGCCTCGCTAATATTTTTAATTTTTGTAGAGACATGGTTTCACTGTGTTGCCAGGCTAGTCTTGAACTACTGGGTTCAAGTGATCCTCCTGCCTATGCCTCCCAAAATGCTGGGATTACAGGCATGAGCTACCTAACATCCAGCCAGGTTAAGTATTTTTATTATTATTATTTACTTTTCTCCCTAGACTGCTTAGCAGAACAGATTAAGTTTTTGTGATAAGAATTTAGCAACCAAATTTAGACTTCAAAGAGTTAGTATGGAAAAAAGAATGTAAACTCCCCAATTAATTTTTATACTAACAACATGTAGAAATGATACCACTTTGGATATTTCGAAGACTTAGTATGAAAATAAAATATCTCATTAATAACATATATAATGACTGCATGTTGGAATGATAATATTTTGGATATAATATATTCACATGTTTCACCTGTTTCTTTTTTAGTTTTATTTTTTAAGTGACTACCAGAAAAGTTAAGATTATGTATGTGGCTTGCATTATGTTTCTAATCAATAATAGAAGTATTAATAATACTTCTATTCAGTATACACACACATAATAATACTTTTAATAAGTATTAATAATACTTCTATTATTATATAAAGTATTAATATGCTTCTATTATTATATAATATAATAATAGAGTATTCCATTGTATGATTATACTGCAATGTATTGATTCATCCACTGTGGACAGATACTGAGATTTTTCTAGTTTTTAGTTATTACAAAGAATGCTACTTTGAACATTCTTATACTTGTATTCTGATAATACTTTTCCTGGGTTTCTCTAGGATATAATAAGGGTACAAAATTGTTTTCCTAAAAAGTTGTGGCAGATTGAGAACATGCCAAGTCTCTAACCATCCAACCTCTAGCAAATCTCTAAAAATTATAGAACAGAAATAATTTAAAAATCCACAATCTTAACTCAAAATGTGGAAGCAGCTCTACAAATGATCGCCTGTCAGAAATACCCAAGAACTACCTACAAGTTATTGGTTGGGACTGTGGAGTGGGAGAAACCAGAGGTACATCAACCACATATCCTTCCTTGGGCCAGGCAGCAAAGGTGTCTTCCTCCAGGCAGGAGCAATTGGTGTTAGAAAGGGGGCAGGGTCCTGCAGCCCTGGAGGAAGAGTGTACACTCCCTTACTAGCCATCTCCCACACCTTCGTATTATCAGAAGACTCCATCTGGAACACAAGCCCCAGAATCCCATCTCTCCTTTAGAGCTAGGAAACAGGATTGTCTAGTTCCAGCATTTTTTTTTTCTTATCAATAAGATATCAAACTAAGGGTGGGGGAAACTATTTTAAAGTGGTCATAACTCCTCTTCTTAGATGACTATGATTGTCATGTGTTTCATTTTTAATTTAGAACTCATGTATAGTTTGTCTATATAAGTTGAACTAATGATGTGACACATAAACTGTTGTGAAAAATGCCAGTTACTGGCCGGGGGTGGTGGCTCACACCTATAATCCCAGGGCAGATCACCTGAAGTCACGAGTTCGAGACCAACCTGGCCAACAAGGTGAAATCCCGTCTCTACTAAAAATACAAAAAAATTAGCCAGGCATGGTGGTGCACACCTGTAGTCCCACCTACTCTGCAGGCTGAGGCATGAGAATCGCTTGAACCCGGGCAGTGGCAGTTGCAGTGAGCCAAGATGGCGCCATTGCACTCCAGCCTGGGGTGACAGAGCAAGACTGTCTCAATTTAAAAAAAAAAAAAAAAAAAAAAAAGCCAGTTACTTTGAATGTAAGCATTTTTTCCAAAATCATGTATGTGTCTAATTCCTTCTATAAATCAATAAGAAAATGATTTTAAAAATTCAACAAGATCATGGACAGAGGACAGAAAACTCAGAGAAGAAACACAAATGTTCAATGAACCTATAAAGATATTTAATTAAATTCATAAGTAATCACAAAAATTCAAATTTAGATGGGATACCTTTTATTCACCCATAACATCAACAAAAAGTTGTAGAATACCCAGCAGTGAAAAGTGTGGGGAAGTGAATGCTGTCATACTCTGTTGACCATAGTGTAAGTTGGCACAACATTTTCGACAGCAATTAAAATTTCATATCTACATAGGCTTCACCCCAACAATTCCATTTCTAGATATGTATTCTACAGAAATACTTGCCCATGTTCACAAAGAAGCATGCATTTCATTGCAGCGATGCATGTAACAAGAAAACTAGACATAATCTAAACATCCATCAATGGGGAAACTATTAAATAAACTATGATACATCCATACTATGGAGTATTATGCAGGAGTTTAAAGTGAATGTGGTAACCCTCTAAGTACTGGGAAGGAAAGAAATCTAAGACATATCATGAAGTGAAAGAATCAAGTTACAAGACGTTACCATTTATGTGAAGAAAAAAGATTTTTAAAGCCACACAACAAATCTATTTTACTTTATGTAAATATGTATGTAGGCAAATGGGGAAAAGTCTGGAAGGTTATATACTAAACACAGAGTGTTACCTCAGGGATGAGGGAGTAGGACACAAGGAGGGTTTTTGTTATAGCTGTTATTTCATTTTTATACATTAAGAATGTAATCATGGGCTAGGGATGGGGCTGGGGGCTGGGATTACAAAATGCCTGTAATCCCAGCACTTTGGGAGGCCAAGATGGGAGGATCACTTGAGCCCAGGAGTTTGAGACCAGCCTAAGCAATATAGGGAGACCCTGTCTCTACAAAAAAATAAAAAATTAGGTGGGCATGGTAGCATGTACCTGTGGTCCCAGCTACTTGGGAAGCTGAGATGGGAGGATCACTTGAGCCTGGGAGGTGGAGGCTGCAGTGAGTCATGATTGCACCACTGCACTTCAGCCTGGGGAACAGAGTAACATCCCGTCTCCAAAAAAAAAAAAAAAAAAAATATATATATATATATATATATATATATATAAAACAAAGTATTATTTGTGTGATAAAAAATAAATTTAAATTGACTCTTATTTTAAAGAGAGCCTACCAAATTTAATTTTAAAATAACCACAGGATTGCAATCAACAGAGGTTGATTTGGGGTATGGAGGGGAAGCATGTTTTCTCAGAGGTACTGACCTCAAAATTCTATACCAGGAAGGATCTTACAATGCAGTTAGTTTTTTTTGTCATATTTGGAGAGAATATACTCAGTTTCTCAGTCCAACTGTATGCTTTTCATACATCTTCACCAATGTAAGATATATAGCTTCCTTGGACATTTCTGTGAAGAAACACAGTTCATATCCTTGAATAGGTAGGAAAAGAATGAACAGGATAAGTAAAAGAATCATGGCAACCTTGTGGGGGATATTCAGAAACAGAGAATAACACCTGCTTTCTAATTTCCAGCGCTGTCAGCTTCCCAGTCTGCACAATAAACCAAGAAATAATGCGGGGCCACTGGCACAAATGAGGCATCTCCCGGAAGCTTAACTTCCTATCCATCCCATCTCTTAGACAGATAATGCCAGTTAATTACTTTGAATGTAAGTATTTTACCCAAAAACACTTATGTGTCTAAACTAACTCCTTCTACAAATCAAAAATGGTAAATACTTCAACAGAAAACTGGGCAAAAGCTTATCATTATTAACAAATAAGAAGAAAGAAACCCTATGCTGGGTAATGCCAAAGCTTTGGCCCAGTGCCCTCTGTTGAAACATCCTAGGCCTTTTCTTTCCACTCCTATCACAACCAATCTGATTTAGCCCCTTCACACTTTACCCCTAGATTTTGCTAGACCTTTCTATTTTGTCTCCCTGAATTAAGCTTTCCTCTCTAGGGCACTCTACATATGGATTCTAAAATAATCATCTGCATGTCTACACTTGAACATTATGCAAAAATTAAAATAATCCTCCTGTTTTAATCATCTAATCTCTTTTGGATGGAAATTTTCAATGGCTTTCCATATGTCATTGTGTAACTTTTAAACTCCCATACCTGATAATCAAAGTTTTATGTAATTGTTTCTTCATTGCTCCCTCACCTGATTCTTTGCAGCCAGATTGGTTTACTAAATTCTCACCATATCTGTAGCCATGCCTTTGCCTAGACTGTACTCCCATTTTTTTCCTTATTTAACAAATTATAGCTACTTTTTAAGCCCCAAGTAAAGTTTTAGCTTATCCAGATTTCTCTTACCTCCAAATCTCAAGATCCCAGTTTCTGGTGAATTCTAGCACCGATGGTCTGCATTATCTTTTAGTACCTAATTATATATACCTCCTTTTTTATGCCTATTCTCTTTCTTCCCGCCTATCATTTTCATGTTCTAGGGACAGTAGCATACTTGGCTCTGGATTGGACACAAAATGAGTGCTACATATAGAAAGCCAGTGACAAAGATGAGTTCTGGACATAACTAAAGGACTGAGTCATCATGTTAACAGCCAACACTCCTACATATGCTAGGCACTGATGAAGTGTTTCATATATTCACTCACCTAAATTTCACAACAATCTTATGAAATGGTGACTAGCATAATCCCCAGTTTAAAGATGAGGAAATTGAGTTACAGAGCAGAATAACTTGCTCAGGGTCACCAAGCTAATAAATGACAGCCCTGGGTTCAGACCCAGGCAGCCTGGCTCCAGAATCAACTCTTAACCATTTAGAACATCATCACAGAGATGGGGAGAGGGACAGGCTGCTGTGAAGAGGGTGAAGTGAAAATGGGAGGAGAGCAGCGGTTAAGCAATGACGTGATGGGGCTAAATGAAAACAGATAAGAAAACAAGTAAGAGCAATCACAAGTAAAAGACTGGAGAAGGGGCCTAATAGTAAAGGATAATGAGGAGAAGGAAGAGATTACAGGCAGAGGTGAAAGCAGAAAGTTAGTTGTCAGTATAGCTTGGGGAGATAAAGAAGGCCCAGGAAGGCCTCCAGGAAAAGGCTGCCGTGTGAGGCAGGACACAGAGGACAATGGAAGAAAGGTGATTCTTACAAGATGGTGAAGGTGCCATTGTAGGTGTTGGGCTCTGGCAGGGGCACTCAGCGGAGCCTGTGCTTTGGGCTGAGATCAGTACATGACCGCATCTCATCTCCGAGGTACAGAGCTCACATATGTTGGTGCTTGTGGAGGCCTTCTGTTCCTCTGGTGCATTTAAAGCCTTATTTTGGGGGTAACTTTCAGACCACATCAATGAATCCTGAGTAGATTCTAGTTCAGTAGATGGACCTGTGACTTCAGTCAGGCTTCGATGCAGAGTCTGAACCTGGTCTGCACAAGGAGCTGTAGTCTTCTCCAGGGCTGTAGAATGTCCAATCTTTGCAGTGGGTTCTGGAGTGATGGCAAGCCCCAGGTCTGGAGGCTGAGTTGAGGTCTCCCCCATGGTTGGAGGTGGTTTAACCTCTATAGTAGGTTCTATAGTTATGGTAAGCTCCATGTCCAGAGGTTGAACTGTGACTTGAGTCAGGTTTGAACGCTGAGCCTGACCCTTGTCTGGAGGTGGAAGTGTCACCTCAACATGCTCTGGAGGAGGAGCTGTAGTCATCAGGGCTGTAGAAGTTTCAACCTCTGTAATAGATTCTGGAGTGATGGTAAGCCCCAGATTCAAAGGTTGAACTGTGACGCTGGGTGATGTTGGATGCTGAGCTTGATCCTGGCCTGGTGTTGGCACGGACATCTCATAATATACAGGAGGTTGAGCTACAACCTCCTTACGTAGCTCTGGAGACCAAGTTAGGGTCTTCTGCATGGTTGGAGAAGGTTAAACCTCCATAGTGGATTCTGGAGCTAAGGTAAGTTTCAGATCCAAAGGTTGAACTGTGGCTTGAGTCAGGTTTGAATGGTGAGTCTGAACCTGGTCTGGATGTGGAAGTGTCACCTTAGGGTGCTTTGGAGGAACTAGAGTCTTCTTCAAGGGTGTAGAATGTTCAACCTCCATAGTGGGTTCTGGAGTGTTAGTAAGTCCCAGGTCCAAAAGTTGAGCTGTAACGCTGGTTGACATTGGATGCTGAGCTTGATCCTGACCTGGCGTTGGAACTGTTACCTCTTAATATACTGGAGGTTGGGGTACAACCCTAGGAGGCTGAGTTGGGGTCTCCTGCGTGGTTGGAGAAAGTTCAACCTCTGTTGTGGATTCTGGAGTGATGGTAAGCCCCAGGCCCAAAGGCTAAACTGTGACACTGGGCAGTGTTGAATGCTGAGCTTGATCCTGACCTGGTGTTACCTCATAATGAGCTTGAGGTTGAGCTGCAGCCTCTGTAGGTGGCTCTGGAAGCTGAGTTGAGTTCTCCATGGTTGGAGAAAAAGAAACATGGTTGTGGAGTTGTGGTAAGTTCCAGGTGCAAAGGTTGAACTATGACCTGTTAGGTTTGTGTGCTGGGCCTGAACCTGGTCTGGGGGTGGAAGCATCACCTCAGAGTGTTTTGGAGGAGCGGTAGTCTTCCTCAGGGTTGTAGAATGCTCAGCCTCCATAGTGGATTCCGGAGTGATGGTAAGCCCCAGCTCTAAAGGTTGAAATGTGACACTGGGTGATACTGGATACTGGGCTTGGTCCTGGCCTGCTATTGCAACTGTCATCTCATGCGTTGGAGGTTGAGCTGCAACCTCCTTAGGTGGCTCTGGATGCTGAGCTGGGACCAGCTGCTGGCTTGAAGGTTCTACCTCCATAGGGGGCTCTGGAGTCTGCACTGTGGCCTCCTGCTGGGTTGGAGAAGGTTCTGCCTCCATAGGGGGCTCTGTAGTCTGAGCTGGAACCCCCTGCTGAGTTAAGAGATGGTTCCACCTCCTGAGGGAGCTCTGGAGGTGAAGATGGGGTCATCTGCTGGGTCTGAGAGGGTTCTACCACCACAGGTGCCTCTGAGGACTGAGCAGGGCCTGCCTGCTGGACTGGAGAGGATTCTACCTCTTTAGGTGGCTCTAAAAGCTGAATTGGGGTCTGCTGTAGGACTGGAGATGGTTCGACCTTCTCAGGTGGCTCTGATGGCTGAGCTGGTATCTCCCGCTGCGGTGGAGGACTGACCTCTTTGGTGGACTTTGGAGGATGACCTGAGGCTTCTTCCTGGGTTGCAGATGGTTCAACCCTTAGGGGTCTCTGGTGACTCAGCTGGGAACTCTTGCTGAACTGGAGAAGGTCATACTTCCTTTGGGGGATCTGGAGTCTGAGGTTGGGCTTCTCGCTGGGCTGGAGAAGACTCAGCCCCCTCAGGGGTCTGTGGATGCTCAGCTGCAGCCTCTTGCTGGGTTGGAGAGGGGTTCTCATTATTAACAGGTTCTGGAGATTGAACTGAAGTCTCCCATTGATCTGCTAAAAGTCCAGTGTCTTCTGATGACTCTAGAGGCAGAGGTGGGCCCCCATGCTGTGTGGTGCAGAAGGTTCTACATCATTACCTGGCCCTGAGAGCTGAGCTGTAGCCTCCTGGTGGATTGGAGAAGTTCCTACCTCTGCAGTAGGCTCTGTTGCTATGGTGAGCTGCATGTCTGGAGGCCTAATATTGACATTGGGCAAATCTGAATGCTGAGATTGGTGGTGACCTGGAGGTGAAACTGTCACTTCATGATGTGCTGGAGGCTGAGCTGGGGCCTCCTGCTGGGCTGGAGAAGATTCAGCCTTCCCAGAAGACATAGAAGGCTGAGCTGGCTGCTTCTGCTTACTGGGGGAAAGTTCAGGCTCCACAGGAGGATCCGGAGGCTCAATTGGGGCCTCCTCCTGGCTTACAGAAGGTTCCACTCCTCTGGAGGCTCAGCTGGGGCCTCCTGCTGGGCTTTGGAAGATTCAGTCTTCTTGGTAGGCTCTGAAGTTATGGTAATCTCCACATCCACAAGTTTAACTGTAACACTGGACAAGTTAAAAGGAGCTTGATCGTCACCTGGAGGGTGAATTGTCACCTCATGATTCGGTGGAGTTTGAGCTCCACTCTCCATAGAGGACTCTGGAAGCTGAGTTGGAGCCTCTTGCTGGGCCTCAGAATGTTCAACCTTCCAGGAAACTCAGAAGGCTCAGCTGGCTGTTCCTGCTCACTGGGGGAAGGTGCACACTCCATCAGAGGACCTGGAGGCTCAGTTGGGGCCTCCTCCTTGGTTGCAGAAGGTTCCACCTCCTCTGGAGGCTGGGTTGGGATCTCCTGCTGGGATGGAGAAGATTCTGCCTCCTTGGTAGGCTCTGAAGTTATGATCTCCACATCTGCAGGTTTCACTGTAATGCTGTAATGCTGGGCAAGTTAGAATGAGCTTGATCCTCACCTGGAAGGTGAACTGTCACCTCATGATTTGGTGGAGTTTCAGCTGCACTCTCTGTAGAGGACTCTGGAGGATGAGCTGGGGCTTCCTGCTGGGTCTCAGAAGGTTCAACCCCCCAGCCCCCACAGGAAACTCAGAAGGCTGAGCTGGCTGTTCCTGCTCACTGGGGGAAAGTTCAACCTCCACAGGAGGACCTGGAGGCTCAGCTGGGGTCCCTTGCTGGGTTGCAGAGGGTTTCCTCTCCTTAGGGCACTCTGGTGTCCGAGCTGGAGCCTCTAACTGTGTTGAGGAAGAGTCCATCTCCTTGGTGTGCTCTGGAGGCTGAGCAGTGGCCTGTTCCTGGCTTGATGTAAGTTCCTTACCTGGCTCTGGAGTTACCACAAGCTCCACACCCACAGGTTTGACTGTGACACTGGGCAAGTGTGAGTGCTGAGCTTCACTCCAACTTTTCAATGGAACATTTACCTCATGACATATCAATGGCGGAGCTACCATCTCTTCAGAGGCAGGTCGCTGCTGTGCTGGGGCCTCCTGCTCTGTTGAAGAGTGGACCCCCTCAAGGCAGAGCTGGGGCCTCCTGCTGGGTTGAAGAAGGTTCTCCCTCCTCAGGGAGCTGTGGAAGCTGCTCTGGGGCTTCTTCCTGGAGTGAAGAGGACTGGATCTCTTCAAGGGTCTCTGGATTTTGAGTTTCGGGCTCTAGACGGAATTGAGAAAGACTGACTCACTCACGGGGCCCTGGAGGCTTATCTGAGTTCACCCAGAGTTCTGGAGGCAGGCTGCCCGGATACAGTATATCCATACTTGAATCTAAATACTCATCCTGCAAAGTTTGTTTCTGACACTGAAGTTTTAATACAAATAGGTGTGGAGTTCCAACAACAACCTTAGCAAGCTTCCACTGCTTAGCTAGATCTTTCTTCAGGTTCTTGGGCAAAACAGTAAACTTGGTTGCTTTTGAAAATAGATTTAGAAACTTAGAAACCTTTAGACTTTTAGACTTAGAAACTTATAGACTTAGAAACTTAGAGACTTAGAGACTTAGAAACTTAGAAGCTTAGAAAAGCACACACCCAATGACCAGGTGGCCATCTAAAGCAACCGCCCAATGACCAGGTGGCCATCTAAAGCACCCGCCCGATGTCCGTGTGGCTATCTAAAACACCCACCCAAATTCCTGGAACTCAAACAGAAGAACAAGTCCGGGAAATACCCCGCGCGGGTTCAAACCAGGTTCAAACCAACCAATCAGAGTAAGACACACCCTGCTCGCACCATAGCTGGCTCCAATCATTTTAAACCTTAAGCCCTGTTTGAATCTCGCGCCTCAAGCTTTGTTTGAATTTCGCGCCCTGTTTAAACCGATGGTGTTTGCCTATATAAACTCCCTGTAACAAGCAATCGGGGTCCTTTGCCACCTTTGTGCGGAGGACCCTAGCGCGCTAGTAATAAATCTCTCTGCCGTGACTTCCGTGTGGAGTGGTCTCTCGCGGCGACCCCTGCCCTGGAAGGAATCTAAAAACTAGGTTCCAACACTTTTGAATTCTTATTTATTTTATTTTATTTTAAAATTGATTGACTGATTGATTGATTGAGACAGTCTCGCTCTGTCACCCAGGCTGGAGTGCAGTGGCTTGATCTCGGCTCACTGCAACCTCCACGTCCCGGTTCAAGCGATTCTCCTGCGTCAGCCTCCTGAGTAACTGCAGGTGCGTGCCACCACGCCCTGCTAATTTTTCGTATCTTTAGTAGAGACGGTGTTTCACCGTGTTATCCAGGATGGTCTTGATCTCCTGACCACGTGATCCACCCGCCTCGGCCTCCCAAAGTGCTGGGATTACAGGTGTAACCCACCGCGCCCCGCCTGAATTCTGACTATCTAGAGGTGGAAGAAGTAAAGTATTTAATCTGCCTGATGATCTGCAGCCTGAGCTAGATCTGCAGTTTGAACCTTACTTTTGAGGCGAAGAGGCCGAGCTAGGGTCTGATTCTGATCCCAGTTCAGCATTGGAACCACCTCTGGGAGTCATCCAGATCCTGGTGTGCTGCCGCTAACTGCTCTGGCCCCGGGGGCAGCTCTCCAGCTGAATCCGTGTCCAGGAATGGAACCAAAGTCTGGGTCAAAGTCTCAGTCGATTCCTGAGGCGGAGCTGACATCTGGGAGGAAGCAGAGGACCCCAGATAATCAAAGTCCCCCGGGTCTGCCGTTGGGGGGTGGGGGGGACGGGGGTAAGCGCAAGGGAAGATTCGGGTGGGAGATTGGGGGAGCGGGAAAACCAGGGCTCAGTCGGCCCCAGAGGGTCGGAAGTCGGCTGGAGCGGGTCCTGGACCCACTCCAGAGGCTGAGCCTCCTGAACTAGTAGCCACAGTAGTTGCCAACCTGAGGAGGTGCCGTGGGACCCAGAGGTGCAGCCGGGACATGACATGCTCTGGCGCCGCGCACTTAGCGGGAGGCATTCTGGCAGCCCCTGAGACGCTTGCGCCCTGACAACCGCGCGCCCCGCCCCGTCCTTTATGACACCTTTATTTACACTGCCTTTGTTAGGCTCAGGTCCAGATCCGCTCCGCGTCACCAGGGCGATCTTATCCCACAATCTCACCCAAACCCCGCTTCCCGTCCCACCCCACCCGCGAACACCCCTCCCTTCCCCTTAGCGAGAAAGGATTTGGGCCGCAGACCCGGGTGGTCCTGCTACTCCAGCCGCCTGTTGTGGGGTGTGGTGGGATAGGGACGCGGCAGAGCTTCCCAAGGAAGTCACAGGACCTCGGGATATTCACAAGTGCTAGTCCCATTCTGGCAGCCTGAACTCCCTCCTCCAAGCTGAAATCCGAGAGATACTCTTCTACCTCCTCTTGGCCATACTGCTTCCAGGGAGAGCAAATGACCTGCAAAACGTGCACCAGTTAGGGTGGCAGGCAGGATGTACATTACAGTCATTTATTCCAAAATGTCGCCATTTTCGCTAAATTTTTGATATCTTTTGTTGCATGTTTGATAATTAATTCACCACCCGATTAGGAAGGAGCTGTCAGGGAATAAGCGAGGACTCCAAATTTTCTGTAGGAGAGGTTATGGGGAGTGGGCAATTCAGTCTGGGGGAGAAGGCTTTAGTCCGAGTGAAGAGCCCTTTGCACTAGCCTAGAAGGAGGCTGAACTGTCATCCTGCCTTGACTCACAACCATTACCCTAGAAGTTACAGCACTACTCTTCAGAGGTCTACCCTGTGTGCACACATGGAGAAAACACTTAGTTCGTGAAAGTCAACATGTTAAATTCTTTCCTGAAATGTGACTGTAACTAGAACCCAGCTGACTTCCCCACAGTCATTCTCTGAGACTGAGTCTCACTCTGTCGTCCAGGCTAAAGTGCAGTGGCCCAATCTCAGCTCACTGTAACCTCTGCCTCCCTGGTTCAAGCCATTCTCCTGCCTCAGCCTCCTGAGTAGCTGAGATTATAGGTGCCTGCCACCATGCCCCGCTAATTTTTTTGTATTTTTAGTAGAGATGGGGTTTCATCATGTTGGCCAGGCTGATTTTCAATTCCTGACCTCAAGGGATCTGCCCGCCTTAGCCTACCAACGTGCTGGGATTACAAGTGTGAGCCACCATGCCCAGCCTCCCCACAGCCATTCTTACCTATTTTATTACTCATTGTCTGGCACAATCACCAGCATGTGAACTCCAAGGTGTTTCATCTTATTCCAGTGCCTAGCATAGGCATATGGTGCATAGTAATAGCGCCAGAGATTTTATTTTGGATACACCTGACATTTATTAATACCAAGTGTGCAAAGAAAAGAGATTATTTCAGTCTTCCCATTCAGTAGCTCCTGCTTGAGTATATGACCTGAAGAACACGTAAGAAGAACCCACCACCCATCCCCCTCCCCAAGTTCCTAACCCC